CCCAAAAAGGCTAATATATTAACTAGAAAGAAAAAATACAGATACAATGTGCGGGAGAGTCCAAGCACGGCACCCTGCTCACACAAAAATCACAAGTGGTTCCAAAACTAAAAAATACAGAAAAGTACATTAGAGACTTAAATAAAAAGCCCGAAAAAGCCTAAAAGTGCCGAAATACAAAATATCAGGTGGCTAGAGAGCGATTTAATTTGTTATTGCATCTGCTTCTAGTTTTAGGGAATGAGTAAGCTAATAAGTTGGTAAGATGAGTTGGTAAGCCAGTAGTAACCAATGTATCATCCAATATGCTCCCGAGCTGGAGTCAGCCTCCATTCTTCTTCTTCCTCCTGGAATAGACCTTTCTTCCTCCTGGAATAGACCTGAGACCTGTCATTCATCATCTGAATATTGACTCACCTGATATTGGTCTAAAGTGTGTTGGAGATGTGCAGGTTGTTGAACATTAGAAGCAACTACATGTTGGACAGACTGATCTGTTATTGGGTCAAAAGAGCACTTTTGTGTGTCTTGGCATGTAAGTGAGCATTCTTCAATAATAGTGGGTGGTATAAGCACAACTGGATTTGTAGTTGTAGCATGGTATTCTTCGTCGGGAACTGCGGTGTTGAAAAGAGGATCGGGTTGCGTCTTCTTCACAAGCTTGATAGGTGGCTGATCTTTAACGATATCCGGTCTTAGATGATGAGAATGCAAACGATAACAAATAATAGAGTTGTGGTCAAACATACTACAATAAAACGATAACAAATAATAGAGTTGTGGTCAAATATAATACAATAAGGAGCAATATGGTGGGTGTGGTTCTATTTCAACCTTTTGCCAATACCCATTGTGAGTGGTTCCAATCCATATCTCATCCGAACCTGATTGAGTGCTAGGGTTGCGTCTTCTCCACAAGGTTGATAGGTGACTGATCTTTAACGATAATCGGTCTTAGATGAGGATGCAAACGATAGCAAATAGTAGAGTTGTGGCCCAAATAGTAGAGTGGTGGCCAAACATACTACAATGAGAGCAATAAGAAGAGTGTGGTTCTATTTCAACATTTTGTCAATATCCATTGTGAGTGGTTCCAATCCGGAGCTGATTGAGTGATATCCCTCTCAACTAACACACAAGCCACAGAGAGTCTGGTGACAGCAAGCGTAGGACTATCAACCTTGAGAGGCTTACCGTAAGCAGTTGCTAAGGAGTAGAGAATTTTCAAGTTGAACAGATGTAATTTTAACCCCGGAAACTTTATCCAAACTGGAATAATAGGGGACTCCATTTGAAACCAACAGTCCACTTCAGAATTTTCATATAACGATTGTCGATCTTGATAACTTTCCGAGAAAAGATGCGAAATTAAGTGAGGTAATTGGCATCGTGAGACAACTGAATCAGTATATGTCGACCTTCAAGTAAACCAATATTCCAACAACCCAATAGCTTCATAGCCTCAAAATTCTTTTCGAATGATCTCAAGTTTTGGGTGACCATAGGGAAATTTTTCCACTATAGCATATCGCCACAAAGATGTGAGAGTATCGGTTTCAACCACTGTGAGAATAAGAGCAGGCTTCCAATTTTTTCTCCCCAGTTTTTTAATGAATGTGTGATCGCCAAATGATTGTGTAACATTACAGGATTTACCTATATGAAAACCAGTCTCTGAATCTGAAAGAGGAGCACGAGTAGGAATAGAGAAGTCGCCGGCAAGTGCAGTGGCATAAGAATGGATCGTCGATTCTATTTTCAGAGCAGCCAGGCGAGCCGCTAGAAAATGGAGAGCAGACAGGAGTTCTGCGCCTCTGTCGAGAGGAGAGGTACAAGCGAGCCGCAGTTAGGGTCGTCGAGTCATACGAATGAGGGGAACCAGAGGAGACGGGATTTGTTACACGAGCCTCTACGAG